GGACTTAAATAAAACTGTGGCTTTACTGTATTTTATTTAATATTTATTCTTTTACTGTAAATCGCCCAGAGTCGCTTCAAGGGAGATGGACGACAAATTTAAACAAACAAACAAATAAATAAATAAATAAATCTCCCACGGTCTGGATTTATTTACTTTACTCATTCATTCATTCCTGCCTTTTTCTCTCTCTCTCTGTGGCGAATATACCTAATACACCTTCCTCCTCTTTTCCCCGTAACAACAACCCTGTGAGGTGGGTTGGGCTGAGAGACAGCGACTGGCCCAAAGTCACCTAGCTGGCTTTCGTGCCGAGAAGGACTATCCGGCCTTATGGCTGTCATAAACAATTTGATGCAATTTGATTTTGAGAACTTACAACCTCCTGGTTTCTGGGCCAGCACCTTAACCACCCCACCAAACTGGCTCTCATTTCTTGTCTTTCTCGTAATGTATATTATTATATTTTACTGTTCTTCCTGCATTGGCTGTTGTATTTGAACACTGCTTGGCCTGGTCTTGATCGCAGCAGTTCTTAAATTCATAAAAATGTAATGTAGTATAATAGAAAGCAAGAGGAAAATTAAACATGGCGTATCAAAACATCAACTATGCATGGATGGATAAGTTTATTAAAAGACCAGGAAGAAGTCACAAGAATAAATTAGAGATCACAAGGAACACAGAATACTCCAAACACTCCGTAAGGTGCTTTGATTTCAGCTTAATATATGCTAATTATGTTTCATAATTGCTTTGTGGGGGGGGGGAACCCAGCCAGTTATGGTTTACTGAATTCCAATCCAGACAGGAAGAGAACCAACTATTCAATCAAGTTAAATTTAATACTATTATTCTTTTCTTTGTTGATGTTATTGAACCCAGACCATGTAGTTAGTTACAAAATTGTGCTAACTCAGAAAATTAGTTCAGCAACCAAAGCAGATCCAGTGATGTTGACTGTTAATACATCAGGGCTTTTTTGCACAATCCAGTTACTTTTTTTAATCTCATAAATACTGAACAAGATACTAGCGTTCGTTTTGTTTTCTCTCTTTTTTTAGAAGACTTTCAGTCACATCATTCCCTCTAATGCAGTGTTTTTCAACCTTGGCTACTTTAAGATGCGTGGACTTCAATTCCCAGAATTCCCCAGCTTAAAGCAGCCAAATTTTAAAAACAGCGCTCTAATGAAAAGCTGTTTCTGCCTGCAGGAGCTGAATTTCATTTCTGCACAACAGTGCAAGGATGAGTCCACTTGTGCCCTTTGGATTCACCTTGCACGCTCATCAGACGTCATTGAGTTCTGGGGTCATCAGCTTTATTTGCATTTCAGTAGAAGATCTTCTTTCCTCTCCTCTCTTCAAGAAAATGAAGCACTAAAAATAGACATTAGGAGACCAAGCAACTGAAGAAAAGACACCAATGGATAGCGATGCCAATATCATCATGCCTTGAGATAAATCAGTGGGGCCACCACATCTAGAACGTGGTGTGCGGTTCTGGTTGCCGCACCACAAAGAGAACACAGTGGAGCTGGAGAAGGTTCAGAGGAGGACAACTAAGACGACCCAGAAGCTGGAGCAGACCCTTATGAGGAAAGGCTGTGACACTGGGGGCTTTCTGGTCTAGGAAGGAGGCGAATGAGAGGAGAGCATGATGGAGGTGTACAAGATGATGCACGGGGTGGATAAAGTGGACAAGGAGAAGCTATTCTCCCCTTCCCAAAATACTAGAACCAGAGGTCACCCAGTGAAATGGAATCTTGGAAGACTCAGGACAAAAGAAAGTTGTTGGTTTTTTTAACACAATGGGTAATTCAACTTTGGAATTTGCTACCTCAAGATGGTGCCGGCTACCAGCTTGGCTGGCCTCAAACAAGGGTTGGACCCATTTATGGAAGTTCTAGGGCTCAAGGGTTCTTGAAGCAGTGGGGCTACCTCTGAAGGCCATCTGCTGGGAGGCTGGTGGGCGTCCTCGGGTAACTGGTGGGCCGCTGTGAGAACAGATGGCAGGACTAGACGGGCCAAGGGTCCAATCCAACAGGGCATGGCTTATGTTCTTGAAACAATTTCCATTCTTTCTGGCATCCTCTGCTTCATCTTTATCCACACAATGATGAAGTGAGTAGCACAGACTTAAAGAGGCAGGATTGCTTTAAAGAGATTCATCGTTGCTATAGCTTTTAATCTAGACCAGTGTTTCTCAACCTTGGCAACTTTAAGCTGGGTGGACTTCAGCTCCCAGAATTTCCCCGGCCAACCATGGGGAAGTGACCATAACACTACACCGTTATTCTCTCACTTTGGCACAAGGCGCATTTCTACATCAGCATACAGAAAAAGGAAGAAGTAAGAACTTGATGCATAGGCATTTTTAAGCTTGCAAGAACATTTTCTGTTAAATATTCATAGAAGTGGTGATTCAGCGACCTTTGGCCCTTGAACACTGATCGGCAGAGTACAGTCAAACCCTATTTGGAATTTCATGGCAAAAAGGGGGAGAAACTTGTTTTTAATATAGGAACTGGAGTTCTGGGGGAAACTAACGAATTTCAATGAATTGCATTGGATAGATATTTGATTCAGTGATTCAGTATTAGAAGAATTCAAACAATAATAATTCAGTGGTAATATGTGAGCTGAGAAAAGGGGGCACTGAGAAAGAAGGAGAGAAAGAAAATCGATGTCTTTGAATTATGAAGGGGGGGTTAGTAAAAGTATCATGGCCTGCAAGAGAAATCATCTATCACTCTATCTGGATCAAATAAAGGCTGATTAATCCCTTGATGATCAGAAGATATTCACATACTACGGGCGTGCCGGTAACAGTCCACAAATTATGCTTGGCCAGTGGAAGGCAAGACCAGTGAGAGAAAAACAATGGATAAAGTGGGTGGGTGGACAGGGTGAAAGCACCTATTAGTAAAAACAGAACAAAAGAGTGAATGTTTGCCTGTGCAGTAACCAATGGTCAAATGTGACGGGATATCTAAGGCACTTTTAATCCAATCAGCCCTGATTCCTTGATGCACAATAGAGGGAAGTGAAAACTAAATTTACCACGTCATTTCTGCTATGGCCTTTAGTAATCCCGTTGTATCTATTCACAATAAGAAAAACAACTGTATTCCTTCCTTTAGGTTATGCTCCACCTTTTTAAGCAACCGCCACGCAAATACATTACATCCAATTCTACACAGGGAGTTTTTTTTCCTTTTCGTTCTGCTTTCATCTTCACACTGCACCCCATTAGATTATTCCAGAATGAAATCCTCCAGGGAAAAAAAATCAATCTATTCTGAGTGCCAGGAGAACCTCTTTCTTACCCTCTCAAAGTAAGCTGTTAAGACACGCTGGCCTGGAGTAACTCTTGTGCAGTTAGATTGTGGTTAGAAAACCACGTGGCGGGGTGGGAAATGAGTTGGTAAAAGAAAATACCTCTTAAGCTACAGTTTTGCATCTCTCTGGGGATATAAAACAAGACGGATACCAACTTTCTGAGATCTGCTGACTTCAATTTTAGGATAACAGTAGAGCTTGTGGCAGGATTCCTACTGCGTGTGAGCTAAAAGTGTATCTTACAAACCCTGCCAGCCAAGGATGGTTGAATATGGCAGAATTACAGCCCCAAACTATTGATTTTTCAAGGTGGAAATGTCTAGGAAGCTTCTGATACAGTCTTCCTCTCTATTCCCCGATGCAGATCCCGCTACACAGACATCAAACCTTCATAGCACAGGGATTATATTCTGCAAATCAGGAAAAGTTCTAAACCGGGAAGTGGCACTCTGCCAAGTCCTGCTTCCAATTCGGTTCCTATCGATCGGTTCTCTCAGCGGAAACGGACATCTAACCCACTTTCTGTGCAAATTTGGGCTGCGTTTCGCCAGAGTCAGCGGTGGCCCAAACACCGCCCTTACCGTTAAAGCAAAATTCACGCAGCTTCTGCAGCACAATGTTGGGCTCGTTCAGGATGTCTTCGAATTCTGCAATTCTGCAGGAAACACAACGCAGACGAAGCAGTGAGCGCGCCACACGCACCGAACCCACAAAACATTCTGCGTGCCAAAAGCATTTTCCCCCTGCAGGCTGCAGAAACATCATTAGGCAGAACGCTCCGTTGGGGCTGAAGCCAAGTGCAAATCAAGTGTCTTTCAGGCCCCATTCATCCTGAGATAAAGCCCAGCCCTGGACAGCGTTCAACAATATTTTTTTTGCCCCAAGGCCACAACTGACCCCTCTATAAACAGCCAGAAAAACACAGCGTTCTGATAAGGACTTTTATCTGAGTAAAGACCAACTTTAAGTGCAGGAAGGGACATGAAAGATGTGCCAACGGCTGTGGCAGTTTCAATGTCTCCCCGGAGCCATCTTTCCCAAGCTGGGGTCCCCCCAGGTGTGTGGGGACCATACACCTGAACAGCCTCTGGTTGCAAAAAGACGCCGAAGGTCCTCCAAAAGTCAGTCGGGCCGTGCAAAGAATTGCTTTGGGGCCCAGCGAGCTTTTGAACAAAACCAGCAATTTCCCCCTGCCTCGGTCCAGAAATTCCCAGTGGCTGGATCCTCGGGCGGCTTAAAACTTTTGCCTTTCTTCCAGATCCAGTCAAGCCGAGTTTGCAAAGGCTGGGCTGGATCTGGAAGAAGTTTCATTTGTCAAGGAGCACCAAAACGCAAGAGCGTTCTTACTACTAAAAAGAAAAAAAGTTTTCTAAGAATCCATGCTGCTTTTCCTTCAGCTGAGGATGGAACGTGGTCCTGCGATAGGAGGAGATGTTCCGCTAATGTTTGTGCATAAAAATCCGAATAAAAACCCTCTTTATCCCAGACTACACCCTCCCAAGGGTTTGACACCCAGGAAAGATCCGCTGCGGGAACTTCTACCACCGGCGGGCCACCCGGGCAACTAGACTTTAAACCGGGCCACTGGTTTGGGAAGGGGTGGCCCCGCGTTGTGGGGCTGCCCTGTTGGGCTCGCTCCGCAACAGCGGAGAGCCGGCCGCTCTGCCCTCCTCGCGGCCCTCGCCGCCTCCTTCCCGGCGAACTCCCGACCCGGGCGCTTCCTCGGCGGTTTGCTTCTTTGTTGCCTTCAGCCCGGGAGGAAACGGAGCGGGGGAAG